ACAGGGCTTTCATTTAGGGACCATCAATAAATCACCATGGCAATCCGCAGTTTCTTTTTAATAGCTTTCATATCATGTGACCTTTTAAAACGTTTCTATTGGTTCTTGTATTTTATATTAATATTTATATAGAAAGGGTTCCAGGGACTCCAAATCAATGCAAAAGTATATTACTGCCCAACTAGAACACCCCTCATTATATCATTTTTTAATGCTTCTTGTATGTTATATTCATATTTTTCTGGGAAAATTGGGATTTATTTCAATAGTTTCCAAGTCATGTTACCCAGGGACTCCTAATCAATGCACAATTATATTACTACACTCCCCAACTTGGACACACCTCTTTTGATCAATTATTAATGCTTTAATGCTATTTTATATTAATATTTATATAGAAAATAGACTACACTAGACTCTGTAAGTAGGACACACCTCTTTTTATCCAATTTTAATGCTGCTTATATTCAGGTGTATCCTACTAGTGTAGTCTAGTAATATAATTCGGCATTGATTTGGAGTCCCTGGGTCACATGACATGGAAACTATTGAAAAAAGATATTTTTTTCCATATAAATGTAAATATAAAATATAAGAACCAATACAAACGTATTAAAAGAGGTATGTCTTTCTTGGGTAAGGTAGTAGTTTAATTCAGCATTGACTTTGAGTGACTTGGTCACATTACATGGAAGCTTTTGAAAAGAAACTTCTGATTCCTCTCGTCTTTAATTGATGGTCCCTAAATGAAACCCCTATGGTAAAGAGCGACCACAGGGAGGTGAGCCAACGGTCCTCTGCCAAAACTGGGTGAAGCTTTAGTCGTCGCTGGATCTGGAGGGAATGTCTGTCAAATATCCTACTTAAAACGGTATTATGTACATACATACACATACACATGCACATAGATACATGTCAAACTTTGTAAATTGTAAACAACAGAGTGCAAAGACTGCTGGAATAATGATTGAATGATTAGTGTAATAGGTGTTTTATTGAGGCTACATGAAATATGTGGATATATTACCGTACATATCCACTGTACAGTGCTCCATTACTGTATATTGCATGTTCTCCTGCAGTGGCATTGGCCTGGCGCTGTGTGAGCGTCTCCTCTCACAGGACACAGAGGGTCTCCAGCTGTGTCTGGCCTGCAGGAACATGCGGCGGGCTCAGGCGGCTCGCTCTGCCCTCCTCGCCTCTCACCCCACAGCCCAGGTGGCCCTCCTGCAGATGGACACCAGCAGCATCTCCTCAGTCTTCGCTGCTGCACAGGAGGTCAAACTCAGGTGGGAGGACAGAATCAGAATCAGAATCATCTTTATTTGTCATTGTCACAAGTACAACGAAATTACAGACTCACAGAAGGACCAGATAGTCATAAATACAGAGCAGGTTGTGCATTCTGTGTGTTACAGAACTGAACATGGTTGTCTATTCCAGGTATAACCGGCTGGACTACCTCTACCTGAATGCAGGCATTATGCCAAACCCACAGTTTGATGTAAAAGCATTTTTCAAAGGCCTCTTCTCTAGGTACTTCTACTTTTTCATGTTAGAAACACCTGACTTCTGAAGCTTCTTCAAATTATTTAGCTGCACTGGTGTTTATTTCAGAATTCAGATTTCTATGATGTCTTCATTGCAGCCATATCATCACCATGTTTGCCACCGGTGAGGGGATTCTAACACAGAAGGACTGCGTCACTGCTGATGGCCTGCAAGAAGTTTTCGCGACCAACCTCTTTGGTCACTTCCTGCTAGTGAGTGAGCTATTTTGGCTACTGAATTATCTAGTGAGTAAGTTCGGATTGACTTAGGGAATTGGACACAAAACCATGTTTCCTTCAGCTTTCTGCAGGGTGAGCGTTCTTGTTTACCCTTGATGGAATAAATATAGGCGATACCAGATCTGTCTGTCACTTAGCAACACTGCTCATTAAAAATTAACAGTATATAGTGTTCTAGCCATAAGGTCACTGCGGACAAGATCCTGCTTACTGTGCATTTGCAGATGAAGTGTGACGTGTGTTAAGTTGCCATCACAGAGATACTCTCTCAAAGTTCCTATTTAGACTTTCCAGAAATATAAATCATCTCTGCTGCTATATTAAATATATATATTTTAGAGACGAAAACCCTTTAATTTCCTGTTTAGACAGCTCAAGTTAAAGGCCTTTTTAAAAAGACTCTAGTAGTATCTATGTGGAAAGAGTTTTTAGTGTTACTGCTGCTTAAAATCTGTATCTTAATCATTTAGACATATGCTTTCAGAAGTGTATAACAAAGTAGTAAGATGCAATAATTAGACCTGTTTGTCACAAAAATCAACCAGGTTTCTAAAATTAAGTTGAATTCTCAGCCTCTTTCTGTCTTGTTTCATGGCAAACTGGCCACCTTTGTGTCATGGTAACATATTATTTAAGACTAAAACTGAGCCCAAATTACTTCCATCATAAATGACTGTTGTTCTCCTGTTTTATGGCCCAGATCAGGGAGCTGGAACCAGTTCTGTGCCATGCAGGCCGAACGTCCCAGCTGATCTGGACCTCCTCCAGTAACGCTCACCGCTCGGCTTTTAACTTGGAAGACATACAGCACCAGAGAGGCACCCAACCTTACAGCTCCTCCAAATATGCTTCTGACCTGCTCAGCCTGGCACTCAACACACGCTATAACAAACAGGTCTCTCACACGCCTCATACCCGCTGTGTATCACCCATGCCTGCAAGGCTTCTTTTTTTTTTATCTCCCATGATGTTGATGACTGTAATCATGCTTTTATTGTGCTTTCTAGGGTTTGTACTCATCCGTCATTTGTCCTGGTTTTGTGATGACCAATCTGACCTACGGTATCCTGCCCTCCTTCCCAGCCTTCCTCTGGACCTTACTTATGCCTGTCTTTTGGCTTGTGAGTGCGAATTATTAACGAACACCTATTTTTGCCCCGTTTGTCTTTGTGCTGTGATGGATGTGAGAAGAATAACAAACTAGAATTATTTGGTGGTATCTAAATGCATCTCTCTCTCTCATGATCTCAGATAAGAGTGTTCACCAATACTTTCACCCTGATCCCTTACAATGGAGCTGAAGCCCTGGTAGGTAAAGCACATTTTCAAACTTCCATACACACATTAGTACAGTACAGTATTCATGAATGATGCTCTTTCTTGCAGTTCTGGCTATTTAATCAAAAGCCTGAATCACTGGACCCTCAAGCCAAGTACCACAGCTTAACATCTGGGCGTGGCAAAAACTACACACAACCACGCAAGGTACGGCAAAGGAACACAAGCCATTAACGTTTAGTTTGACTAGTCAAAGTCCGTGTGGTGAGCTTTGTGTCTTCTGTTCCGCTTTGCAGATGGACGTTGATTTGGAAACATCAGAGGCTTTGTATGAGAAATTACTGCAACTGGAAAGTGAAGTGAGAAAGAAACTGAAGGAAAAACAAAAAGAATCCCAAGTTCACAGTCTTCCTGCAGGACCTGGATCATCTTGATGCGTATCACACAGTTCTGGGATGGAGAGTATTTTATTCCTGTCTCACAGGTCACCAGGGAGCAGCATGCACACTGGCTGTCAGACCTCACAAAAATAACACTTCTCTGCCTGCTACTGGAACTTGCAAGCCTGAATTCACAGCACAAAGAAAAACAACAAGTGACAGTGACTCTATGATATAAGTTTGATTTCCTGTTTCCATATTTATTGTCTGTATCAGGCATGAAGTGAAAGAGCCAAAATAATGTATGTTGGGATGGGTTGGTAAAGAGTTTACAATTAAACTGAGCATTGCCTGTTTTCATCTTCAGTGCATTCACTCCATAAAGTGTGATATTACATAAGGAGAACGACACAGTTTTGCAAATAGCCATGGGCGGTATGCGAGGTCACCAACTGTTAAGTCTATGCGGTCCAGGAGGGACTATTTCCAATTTGGTTGTTGATTCCGTGATCCTCCCGGCAAAATGCAGTGCAGTCTGACAGAAGACTATCCGTATCATCCAAAAAGTTTACATAGGTGGTCTGTGTGAGCCCCTGCGCGGTGTACGGCGGTGCCGGCACATGCGTACAGGCGCACCTGATATTCCGCTCCGGTGGATTCGAGGCGCAAACCCAGCGGTCGTCCCCGTGTTCCGCTGCTTGTTTCCGAGTCCCACACTCCTCCTCTTCTCCGCTGAGTTTCGGGTTGCAAAAAGCCCACACCATCCCGCAGAAATAGACGAAAAACGTGCCCATGACCATGACCATGAGCGCATACGACTCTATCATGGCTTTGGTGACTGGAGATGTCATCTTTGGATGCGCAGGAATAATAATGGTTCTCTGAGTGTGTTCAGGATCGACTGTCAGAGCGACTGTATCATCCTGTGGGTTGGACCGCTTCAGTAATGTGAGATACAGACAAGCAGAGAATAAGTGATTGTTATTGCTGCCACCTCTTTCCCTGAACTAAATGTACAGTATAAGTGGCCATTGTGAGGGCTGAGTAAGGATCAGTCAAACTGTAGGTGGAATAAACTCATTATACACATTATAAATCTGGATTCCAATGAAATACAGAAGTGTACAGTGATTGTCTCATAGGAAGAAAGCTAGTATTTGGACAATTATTGATTATTAATTTAATGGTGGATTCAATATACATGTGGGACACTATATGTATTTGCTTTCACTTTCAGATGTTATTTGTAAAACCAGAAATGGTAACGTTGATCATTAAATAGTAACTGGTTTTCAGTAGCCCCACTGAGTCCTGTATGATAATATGATGGAGGAACAGCTTAGTAGAGCTTTGAAATCCCTCCAGACAGTAAAGAACTTCAGCCTTTGTGAAACTTTGTGGACTGGAAATTCAGACCTGGACAGAATTTAGAAAAACAGATGAAGCTGAACATAATTATGTTTTAATGAATGAGTGAATTATATTAGAGTTATATTCTTTATCACTAATGTATTTTTTAAAGGTTAACTTTTTTTATTCCGCTTGTGTTTGGTTGTCTCTACTGAGTTTAAATCATAAAGTCATCTTTAAAAATCATCTTTGTATTTACATTATATACATTTAAACAGACCTGAAGTGTCCGTTTGTCTCCCTGACAACCACACAGGTCAGTGCTCCCTAACAAGCCCATCAGCTGGCCTTCCTTATAAGGTCAAACACCAGAAACCACAGATCCCAAAATACCTTCAGCGATCAATGAGATTTTCAGATATTAGTGCCTTTTTGTTAGGCTTCACATTTGAATGTTCGACCAAGTTTTAACCACATGGGTCAAAAACTAGGCTCCCTACTTAAATACCACATCAAAACCATGACATCCTATGTGAATGGTGTGCTAAGACCACTCACAATGATCCCCTGATACCATCAAATCTTCAGATTAAAGCCATTTAAAAAAGGCTGCATAATTCCCACAGGTCTCCTTCATAATGGAAACATACAGTATTGTAAACATTAAAACATTCACAACTGTAAAACGTGTTTCAAACAACAGAACTGTGTGTAGCCTCAGATGCAAAAATCTAATTGCTCAGAGCAGAAATGAGGCATAACAAACCAAATGACGTCTTTATTTAAATAAACATGATTTTTTTTTACATTTTAATAAAAAACATTTTAGTCTGTAACTCTTGAACCATCTCAGTTATAATCAAACCTTTTATATATTTCTTAAAAACAGCTTTTTCTGCTAAAATGATTGATCTTCTTATGATAAGGAAGCAGTGAAAACTCAACAGGATGTGTAACCTAATATAGGTTGGTTTCCTGTTCATGATCAAAAGAGTAGATCACATCCACTCTGTACTAGAAGACACGAAAAACTTCCTCCAGCCCTGAATAATGTGACCTGTGATGTTTTTTTAGATGAAATCATTTTCCTCCTTCCAACTTAGTTCAAGTCATAACCTAAACAAAACATGCATTGAACAAATTAATCCACAAACTGCAACTTGTGGTGTGTTAACCCACTGTTAACTCCTCTTCCTCTGCTCCAGTGTGAAGAGGATTACTGCGAGAGAGGAACTAAAGATGCCTTCTGACCAAACTATTGAGCCTTTGGCCTTGTTTTTTAATGTTCCCATGTTTAATCTTTGTGTACAGAACCACATGCTATGCATTAGGTTGTTTTTATTACCCCATATCCAAATACAATGTGAAAGACTGTTCTCACGAGCAGTACATGCAGGGTTTAAAGAGGATCTCGTGACTCTTGGGTACAGTGTGAATCCTTGTTGAGTCTGTCACTCTTGATGGTAATGTCAGTAATAATGACTAATTATATGTTGACCTTTCCTCACAGCTTGTCTTCTAACTAGACTGAAACATGTTAGCCACAAACAGATGCACCTGCTTTCTCTAAGACGTTTTCAAAGGTATATTAAAGAGAGTATAAACCGGGTTGACGTAGTAGTTGAGCCCTCTTTAGTCTGAAAACCGGTACACTCATGTGGACAACAGCTATGAGGTCTGAGGAGGTTTTCTGAGGAGTCAAAACAAGAGCTCAGAGTGTGTGTGAGGGCACCCATGCTCACAGAAGGCAGGAACACTGGAGAGGAGAGAATTGTGGGTAGTGTAGTTTCACCCTTGTGTATTCCGTAACTGAGTCAACTGCATCTCATTTGCAAAAAAAACTACATTTCCCATCCGCGCCAACTCCGAGGTCCCGGATGTCTATCGCGCCGGAAGAGAAGAAGGTCCTTTTCCCAGCCATCTTGTGGCTTCATCTAGCGAAGTGTTCGCACCAAGCCTCATAGAATCGGAGGAAAATCCTGCTGAAGGGGCGCCATCATGCCCGGACAGATGCAAGAAGGTTTTGGCTGTGCCATAACCAATCGGTTCGACCAGTTATTTGACGATGAGTCGGATCCCTTTGAGCTTCTGAAGCAAGCCGAAGTAAAGAAGAAGGAGGCTCCTGCTCCTGGTGCCGCCAAGACTCTAGCCCAGGCTGCCAAGCAGCAGAAAAAGGAGTCCCAAAAAGACAGAAAGGCCCCACTATCCGATAAGAAGGAGGAGACCCAGGCACCCGTCCCACCAAAGAAAGATGGTGAGATTTATTTCTGCGTTTTTAGCTCTCAGTCCAGCTACAACTCAAAGATGTTAGGCTAAGTTGCTGACTAGCTAGCAACGGTTCGTAAGCCCCCGTGACATGAGGTCCTCGTGGCTGCTTTTGTGCCGCAGTTAGCTGTCAGCTGCCGGGGTGAAGACACTGAAACACACGGTGTAAAGCAGGGGGATGTGTGGGGCTTAGGCGATTTGGTGATAAACCGTTTGCAGGCCAACTTGTTTTGGCTCGCCTCCCCCCCTCCGCCTCTCTCCCCTCCGGCCTTGTTGAACAGGCACAACCCGAAAGCCTGGCTAACAGGAGAAAGTGGCCTCAAGATGTTCAAATGTGGCTCCTGTCAGTAAGGAAACATTTTTTTTTTTTTTTTTTTTGCACACTTTCATGGAATGGCCGAGAGTATGATTAAACTGGATTTTCAAAAATGTGTTTTAATAAACCCCGGGGGGAGGGGGTGATTAGTGAAATCGTACACATGGCAGATACGAGCTGTTAAAGTAAAGTTAAATGTGTTAACTGTGTCGTTGGTGGCTTTGCAGGTGGATTTGTCAGACATTAGGAGCAGCACTGACCTCACGGTGATGAACCTCGTGGTTGTAGTGTGGGGCGTGTTAAAACACAGCCTCCAAACTGCCACTTCCCATTGGTGAACAATGCATGTGATCGACCCACCTCACAGCATTTACTTTCCCATTTCTGTTTGAGTAGATATGATCTATGGGGATTGTCTAAATGTTACATTTTATCAAGTAGCCTGTTTAAAATAAAATTAAAAAATCCTCTCCAGTGTACATATTGGGGTTGCAATGAGTTAGGTGAACTACATGCAGAACTGAAGCATCCAGAGTCAGGAATTGCTTCTTGGATACTTTTACACGTGTAGTTATTTGGCCATTATCATCATGTAAGTCTGCCCAGCGTGCTCAATATCTGTGTGCCTGAGAGAAGATGAGACAGGTGCGCCGACTATGGGGCACCCAGCTGCTGCCGTGTAGTAGAGGGTGTCTATTTTGGTAGCTGGTGATTTAGTCAATGGGTGGGACTTGTTGTGTCACACTGGGCCAGTGGCAGTCAACCATGTGCCATGGAGGTTTAAACACTTTATTAACCAGAGTGGCTGGGTGATTTAACCCATCAGTACACCTTTCAGTTGTAATAATTTAGGAAATAAAGAGCGATCACGCTGCAAATATTTGATCCCTTTTTTATAATGTAAGATTACTCACCTTTGCACTAAGTTTCTCCCACAAACAGATTATCTTTTTGTGCACTAAATGGGTTCAGTTGTTTTATGTTTATTAATGAGATTACATTGCAGACAGAAGAAAGTTGCACAGTGTTTAATACCAGCTGCCTCGGTTCTTTAATTCTTAACATTAATTGGAATTATTTGCTCCATTTAAACAGAACAATCCCCTCCTTTTCTTTCTCTTGTCTGGGGCTCAGCAGTGGGTCCTGATCTATCAATGCTATTGGTCCTCTAATCCTCCTGTTGTGGTCATTCCTAGGTGCCGGCATGAGGAGAATGGGCCGCAAGCCGGAGGGCGATGGCTCCAGACCCCAGGGTGGCCAGGGAGAGGGGCGCCCCCCGACAGACAGGCGGCCTGTGGATAGACGGCCCCCACGCCGCTTCGAGAGGCCTGCTGGTGACGCTGGCGAGAAGCCTGAGGGTGGCGAATTCTCAGTGGAAAAGTAAGTTGATTATTAAATTTAACAGCAACCACATAAGAGAGGAGGAGAGTGAATCCACTACGATAATACCTTTTTACAGGGTGTTTCCTAGCTCCACATGGGGCAAACGCAGTACTCAGTAGGGGGGAGGGGGGTGTGGGTAGGGTGAGCAACTGTTAAAGGCGTTGCTTAAAATGATAAGGCTTAGTATTTTACAGTTTTGCCCAAACGGCTGTAGGCACATGCAGCTCTTTAGCTCACCAGGTTACTTTACTAAAATTGTTTAAATATAGATTAAAACCAACTTCAAACATCAGTCAATTTAGACTTAAGTTTAAAAAACATAATCCCATTTTTATGTAGAGTTGTAATTTAAATAAACTGAAATATTAGGTATGCATTATTAGCACCTGTTGAACATGTGAATGTACCAGTTTACTGCTAACTATCATTCTTTGGTAAGCTGGCTGACCACTCAAAAACTGTACTGAATAAAAAAAAAGGCTGTAGATGACCCACCTTAGATCTGAACCTGGGTTTTAATGGGGTTTTGACCATGTTCGTTGTTTCTCTCTTCAGACCCATTGGTGATAGGCCGATGAGAGGGCGTGGCGGCGGCAGAGGAGGCCGTGGAGGAAGGGGACGTGGCATGGGACGCAGCGATGGCTTTGATTCCAGAGGAAAACGTGAATTTGATAGACACAGTGGCAGTGACCGATCGTAAGTACTTTTTCGGCTCTTATTTTGGCCTTAAATAAAATATATTCTTAATTTACACCAGGTCTGTTGAAAACGTTGGTTTTCATGCTGTGTAAGTGTCATGATCCTGGCTAAAACAAATGTTGTTTCAGTAGTCTGAAAGGTGAGGAGAAGCGTGGTGGAAGTGGATCTCACAACTGGGGCACCGTCAAGGATGAACTAAAGTAAGTTCTTCTATGTGCAGCATAACAGAAACTTTGCATGATGGGAGGTTGGGGAGTTGCAGAACACTTTCTTACTGAGAACCTAAGGAAAACAGAAAAAATTATTTTTTAAAAGCTTGTGATCAATTTCTCCTTGTGTGGTGTATTCTTACGTAAGATAGTGTTTCATATAGAGATGTGTAGGATAGGTTGGTCTTGGTAGACTTGGATATTCAGGTTCCATGTTCAGCCGGTGTCAAGGTATTCGAATGAGAAAATAAATCCAAATACACTCATTTGCCAGTTTATTAGGTACGCTTTGCTGAAACTAATGTAGTGTAATGCAACAGCCCTGGAATAACTCCTACCTTCATGAAGCTTTTAATACTCAGTTTTTGTTGAAACTAGAGGCTGTAGTTTGTGGTTGTATTGTCATCCTGTTACTAATATTTAGTCCACTCCATTTATATCCATGTCAACTAAATTATAAGTAACACCTGACTGTAATACAATTCAATAAAACTACAACCTTTTATTAACAAATTCATTGAAATGAAAAGATTTAATATGTAGTACACAACACCTTTCAAAAAAACTGAACATTATCGTCTTCATGAATCGTCTTTATTGGCCTTGCTGGCTGTTAACACTACACTGTTTAATATTTATACGGACATAAACTCTATTTTTTTCATTATTAATTGAAATCTGACCATGTTTTTTTTTTTTTTTTCCTCATAGTGAGCTTGACCAATCAAACGTCACTGAAGAGAACCCTGAGGGAGAGGAACATCCACCTGCTGACTCTGAGAACAAGTAAGTTCCTGTGTTTTCTGTCTTCATACATCCTGATTTGGTTTTGCTGTAATTCCATCAAACGTCATAATTTACAATTGTTTTTGGGCTGCATTGTTCAACCAACTCAGATTATGTTAAACATAACGCTGTGACACTGTGTCTGTCTGTGTCTGTTGAAGGGAGAATGAGGTTGAGGAAGTGAAGGAGGAAGGCCCCAAGGAGATGACTCTGGATGAATGGAAGGCCATGCAGGACAAGGAGCGGGCCAAGGTGGAGTTTAACATCCGTAAGGTCAACCAGGGAGATGATTGGAACAAAGGATTTGTGCTGCACAAGTCCAAGGCAGAGGTGAGTCAAAACCATAGCTCTGCTCATTCTGTATACAACCGTATTTCACTTTCAATTTCGGCGATGAGGTTGATGATAATACATGTGCTTATGTACACCTTGCCTATATTTTGTACGTCCATCATGCCAAACAGCAACTCACACAGCCCATTGTCAAGGGAAACCCCATCCCTTTAGAGTTTTCAATTAGTAAGCAAGTCTGTCTGTACACACAGATAAGGTATACGAGTGTTGCATCAGTTTCCTGTAAATGACAGCAGGGTGCTTAGAATTAGTTAAGCCATAAATAAAAATAAAAAACCTCAGTGTAAACCAAAACTATAACTGACTCATAGTTAAATGCATCTGTATGTGTGGTAACACTTTGGTGTGGTATTTTGTGTTAATTTTTGTGTTAATTTCCATTTCTCCAACCCAGGATAAGAAAAGCGAACTGATTGACCCTGAGATTGATGAGTCTAAGGTAAAATCTCTACGTTTGTTGCACGTCATCTGAACTCAAAATGCATCCCAAAACAAAACATAATTCGCTTTTCATCCCTATTTTTCCTATACAGTTGGATGATGCGCATCACTTCAGGAAGCCAGCCAATGACATTACGTCCCAGCTGGAGATCAACTTCGGAGACCTGGGTCGCCCAGGCCGTGGGCGCGGAGGGCCACGTGGTGGCCGGGGCGGCCGTGGCCGTGGGGCCGTTGGCGATCGTGGTGGTGGTGCCGGCGGTGGTGCTGCTGCTGCAGCCGCCGCCGAGGCTACTAGGCCGGTCCGTGGAGGAAGGACTGACAAGGTATATGTCTTATTGGAAGTTTAGCTGCTGTGTCATATGATCACCACATAAGTGTTTTGTCTGCTTCAGGATTCAGCACACCTGTATAAAAGTTAAACTGAAATTCTGGAGTCATTTTAAGCCACTTTTAAACTACATTCATTCATCTGTAGCCCATTTTCAAATGCATAGATTTTCTAACTCCTTGACTTCCTTTTCTTCACAGTCATCTGCGTCGGTGCCCAATGTGGATGACCCAGAAGCCTTCCCAGCCCTGGCTTAAGCCCCGGCTGTTGTCCCTCAGGCCTACAGGAGCCTCTTAAGCACCTCCATTATGAGGCTTGCATGTTCCTGGATCCTTCAGCAAAGTGAAATGATGGAGAAGAGTGTCATTATCTATGGCACTTAATGTGAGGACTGAGTTTTACCCAATAAAAACAAAACGAAGATGGAAAAAAAAAAACAGAAATTAACACAAAAAAAAGAAAAAAAAGAAAAGGACTTCTTGCTACTCTGGAGCAACTTATTGGTAGAGGTTTTGTACTTGGAAACAAAGTAGCAGGGATGTTTTCATACAGTATTTTTTTCAGAGGTTATGCATTGTCCATTGATACATTTTTGTAATTGCTGCTTGAAAATATGCATTTAGAAATGTAAGCATAAGAGTGTCTTCAGCTTGGTGTGAGCCATTGCTTGGTCGCTTTGAAATAGGCACTGTGGAGCTTTAACCCAAGCTCATAGGCTCTGCCACACCAGGTATTTCTGATGAAGTTAGAGCTTCACTCATTGAGATTTACAGATTTTTTTTTTCTTTAGCACTGGGGTATTGTTTTATATTTTATACAGGAGGTCTATTCTTCTATGATCTTCGGCCTGTAAATCTTAACTATTTTCATAAATTCTGTCAGACTATTTCACATGGTGCAAATAGAACACGATCTTGATCAAGGGATGCTGTCTACAGGTGAATGCATTGATGAAATGGCGCCTAAATATGTATTAAGGTTCATTTATACTGAAATGTTCTAAAGGAGGAACATTAGGTCATTTTTGAGGAACACATCGGTGATTACTCTCCTAAATTTGCATTGATCCTGAGACTTTTGTCAAGTGGATAAATTTAAAGTTGAAAGTTACTCCATGTGTTCTGATTTACTTGTATTTGGGGTGCTATAACACCATCTTGTCTCTTCCTCCCTGATAATTTCATCTTTTGATTACTTGTTTTTGCTTTCACGAGCGATACGGAGAGGAAGTGTCTTTACACAGTTGAGATGTGGCTGTAGTCCGCTGGAAGCCCTCAGACCTTCTCCGACTGTTTACACTCCACTCGAGCATCCTTCCACAGATGTAAACTCGGCCCAGCTTCAGTTTGTTTCTGCAGTCTGTTCTGTGCTGATATTTTCCTCCACTGTTGACTTGCCCTGTAGCTTCCACAGTGGCACCACTGCATAATTGCTCTGAAAGAAATACGGTCGTTCATTGTGTGGAGCAACTGAAGTGCTCTACAAATGTGTGAATTCTAGCCCTGCTATTAGAGACCTCTGTCGGTAAATAAAGATGGTCGATAAATCTTTTGCATTGTCACTTTTTTTTTTTAATCCAAATTGAATTTACAGATGTACAGTACTTTGCTTCTGCTTACATTGACATCTCCATATGTGTTCTCCATATAAGTTATCCTGCTGTTAAAGGTGAGCATCCACAAATCTTTACTGGAGTAACTTGTTGAACCAGAATGTCAAATAGTCACCTCCCACCTCAGGATTTCATTCAAGAACTTATGTGCAGATTAAAATAATGTTGCTGCATACATAGGGAAGTACTTACAAATGCAGATGATGAAATCACTTGTTTATTTGCATTGACATTAAAACTGAAGACTGTGCAACTAAATGAAAAAATCAGAAGGTTTCTATACGAGCTAAACTGATTCCCAATTAGAAAAAGTGAGCAATTGCAAATCTATTTAGAGATGCTGCTGCTCAAAATGGTCCACAAGAGTTTTCAGACTTAAACATAAAACACACTATACATACATACATTTCACCGTGTCAGCAGCCTGGCTCTAGGGATGGCAATGTTGGTTGGTACACCACTTCGGACTGTTTGAAATATCAACAACAATGGATTGCAATGATATTTTGCACATTCGTGGTCCATAAAGGATCAATTCTGATTGCGGTGATTCTGGTGCCACCAGCAGGTGGCAGCATTTCTGGCATTTTGTGAAATGTCTTGACGACTGTTAGATGAATTGCCATAAAACTTGTGACACATACATCTTGAAACAGTGGTGCAACTGGTTGATCGTGATTCTGATCTTCAGCAAAATGATAATAAATTATCTGTCATCATGCAGTAATATTACCCACCCCCACCACTAACAAACTTGAGAGACAATTTACCTTTCTCCTGTTTTAGATGAGCTAAGATTGAGGTAGCATAGATGTATTTAAAGGCCCAGTCAATATACAAGATGGTCAACAACGTGAGGCAATAATAGACTCAATAGGAAAACCACAGGTGTAAATGATGGTTGAATTGCTGCTTCAGTTTCAGGGTCCTGGTACTGGGCCTGCTGGCTCACTATCACACATGTGGCTTAGTGGGACACCTGACACCTTTCTTTAGTAACACCTGTGCTTTTCCTAAGTCAAAAAGTCTGCTGTGAAAATGGGCCTATCAGTGCTTTCAGCATTGGGATGCCTTAATAAAACTGGTATAAATTACAAAATTTGATATACTCTGTCGGGCAGCCTGTACTGTGTTCATTTTGCTCATGTTATTAGTGTATCCAATGCTGCCCTAAAGTGAAAACAATGGTAATGCATGAAATGAAAACAAAAATTCTGCAAACAGCTCTGGACGACATAAGCGAGAGAGCTGTTTTTTTTACGGTTCTGATTTCAGTGAGCAAAAAACAACACTGAAACAGATAAAGAAGAATCCAGTCACCATCTCCAGTCATTGTGTCCCGTCTCTTTTGTTTAGCAGTCTTCTTCCTCAAAAAATTGTTTCCACTCAAACCTCATCTCACCAAAGAGTTCTGGTTTCGGGTTAACACTAACTGTTCTGAAAGAAGTCATTGCAGTCGATTTTGACCGCATCCAGAGTCAACTTCCCTCCAAATGGCTCAATGATGATGTTGTGACTGGGGAAGAAACCCAGCATGTCTAAAAACGGTTCTCCGTCGTCCTCCACCTCCTCATCCTCGTAGATATTTTCTGGCCCGTGTCCGGAGATATAGTCAACGGTTGTGTTGGTGTCCAGAGAGGTATGCGTGTGGTCTGAGCTGTCTGAGTCATGGGAGAAGCTCTTGATGTAAATGACCGGCTCTGTCATTGGGCTCATGCTGGTTTGATGAGGGAGCAGTGAGGAGACGTCTGAAGCTGAGTGGATGTCAGTGCTTTGCTTGGGCAGCTCCTCAACATCCACCAGGATGGGCTCTTCCTCCTCCTCGGCTGCACTGGAGTTACTCGATTGCAGCTGGAGGTTCATCTTGCCCTGTTTTAAAGGGAGATACAGGCTTAAACTATGAACAGTGCGCTGCAGTGTACAGTAGTTTGTATTTCATCCACGTCTACTTAATTACCTTCTCCTGGGTACACTCTTTTGCCCATTTGCTGTTTGCAGGATCTGGCACATCATCAAGCTTGAGGCACGGGAAAAACATCCAGAACCTAAGGGGGAAAGTGGAACATAGTAATTTATTTGTTATCACATCCATTGTGGTTTCTCTGCAGAACTGTTGGGGAACAATAATTGAAAGGTTCACTTTTAAATCCATATGGAGCTTTTGTTCCTCACATACCTCTGCCTCACTGCTGAACTCTGACACAGACACAGCAGAAAGAGCACGATCAGGGAGGTGAGCCCACACATCAGCAGGAGGGATAGTTGGGTCTCCTCTGCAACAGTGACAGTGAAACAGGGAGATGTAAGATTGTACATTTGGCTCCTCTGGCAAAATCAGAAAACACACAAAACATCAAAAGACACTAGCAACAGCTGTCACGGTGGAACATTTTTTTTAAGTTGTCTGGTTAAGTGTTGTAAAATCCTTGTTTGGGAAAACCATTTGAAAGCTCCTGAAAAATCTAGTAAGTGGACATTGAGCTTATTTTTTTCTAGTCTATAGCCAGAGACTAGTTAGCTTAGCTTAGCATAAAGATTGAATCAGGAGGAAACTGCGAGCCTGGCTCTATCCAACAAAATCTATTCTACCTATTAGCACATCCAAAGCGTAGTTAAAAACATGTTAATTTTTGTGTGTTTCATCTGCACAAACAGTGAATTAGCCACAACTTGTGGCTTTAGAGCGGCTTATGTGTCGGACTATTTCTTGGCCAGGAGCATGTGCTCAGCCAGCCAGCAAGCGGGGACTCCAGGAAGTCACTGCTGTAGCTTCATATTTACTGTACAGACAGTAACAGAGTCAAACCAGTGCCAAACAGTGGCATCATCTTCTCATTTATATCTTTGAAAGAAAGTGAATAAGCCCATTTTAGAAACTAGTCCTTTAAAGAAACTTGAATAGCTGCTTACGCAGGATGAAGAACTTGATCTTTTGACCTGCAGGGCCTTCTCCTGTAGCAGTTGAAGCAGTCATCCACAGACTGTAGACAGCTGGAGGCAGGTCTTTGATGATATGTGTCCTCTCTGATGCTGGCATAGAGTCTAAAAAAAAACACATTTATACGCACACCATTTTAAAGAAAGTTACTCATATGACTTTCTGCATGCTACAAACAACATGCCATCAGCTCTGTGTACAAGATGTTTCAGTAAGATAACAACACCTCAGATAAATGGTTCTTACAAGACTGCCTGTATCCACTGTCGCTCTCTAAATAGATGGTATAGATGGTGATGCAACCCCCACGCTGATCCCTGGGAATCTCTATCCAGGTCACTTTCACTTTGTTTCCCTCAACCTCCTCTTTGACTGATGAACCAGCTGCCGGGGCTGCAAACAACAAGCAGAACCCAAAAAAGACTCCTCAACAGGATGGATAATAAAGAAATATTTGAAACATTTCTTAACAGTTTGAGACTGAATTGCTGAATTAAGACTGTTAAGCTCTTCTTAGATCTTACCTGATTCCGAAGTGGCCACTCCTGTAAATCTTCTCTTACTCACTGAGCTCTCGTTATAGACAACATACACTGCTCCCTCATAACACTCAAATGGCTTTATACCTGCATAAAGAAAGATGGTGTTATACAACAGTGAAAAAGAGGAAAAAGAGAAAATGTAGCTGTCAACAACTAAACTGAAAAAATTATATTGGATTTCACCTCTATTTACTGTAACTCGACATGTCCCACCTGTAATAACGGCACGGTTGTCATTCCTGCCCAGCCTGACCCATCTGAGCTCCTCCAGCTTGTGGCCCTCTGGGTACCACTCCACCACATACGCCACATGTGGTGGTGCAGTTTCAGGCTTTCTCCAGGAGATGGTGACAGTGTGGTTGTCTGCAGTTACTTGCACAACCTTTACGGGCTTGGCTGAAAAAAAGAGGAGCATGTATAAATACTTTAATTGCTTAACCTTAGAGAAAATAATAATCATGAGATTGAATATTACTAATCTGATCTGATCACCCTTAAAAGAGGCAAATTATGGCTTCATGAAGCTACAAACAATTAAACGCTCATACAAAGTTAGTTTTTTTTTTTTTTTACCATATCTGTGATGGGTTGTAATTCTGGCAGGAGGAGACATCCCTTTGGAGTTGCAAGCCCACAATGTCACTTCACATTTGGCACAGAATGGGACTGAATAATTCCTGGCATTAGCACTAATGTTAGTGCTGAAGACCACACCAGAGGTTTGGCTCCAAACTCTGACTCTGTACTCCACAATTTTCCCTCTAGTGATAGAAATGTTGGCCTCCTGCAGGTAGAGAAATGTTTAAAAGTAAATCACTGTGATTGGCAAAATATATTTGCTTTTGTTAAAGTAAAAAGAAACAGCAGATTTTTCTAAATCAACACACTGCAAGAACGACATGTGAGACACATCATTTCTGTTCAGCTCCTCTTTTCTTGTAAACTGAAACTGCGGTGTCTACTGCCAAGTTTCACATATCTCTCAGTGTCTTTAGGTGACGTTAAATGAGTATTGGTGTGTATGTGTGTGGTAGAGGAAGGGGAGGTGTGTGTGTGTGTCTGTGTGTCTGTGTGTGTGTGTGAGGGTGACTCATACTGTAGCTGCTCCATTGCTACCCTCTCCTCCATTGTTCCAGTGTTGGGATGCCTGGCCTGACTCCCACCACAAACACAATGAGAGGGAGAATTTAGCAGGGCAATCGGGACTATTGATGATTCATATGTTTATATCTTACCTTCCTAGCTCTACTCCCTTTTCACCACACCCCCCCACCCCCTTCCTCTATACACCCTTTAATAAAAAAGGATGTGTGTCTGGTGTTGGGACAGAGAGCACCTTTGTGTGCCTTGTCAACACACAACACACAGGGGTTGATGAAGTAAAGGAAAGTACCACGTCAGAAAAGACTTTTAAGTAATTCAACGTATTAGGGCTGCTACAGTTTTATCATTATTATTCAATGCCCTGTGTTTTCCAGGAGCTATTGTCTGATAAACATTGTTTTTTTATATATATCCCCCCTTTAACCTTAACCTTTTGTCACATGTATTAGTGATTTACAACATCTCAGAATGCCTTTCAGTAACACCTAGAAAAAAGATACATATGATCTTGTACTCAATTAGATATGGATGTAATGGACATGTAGATTACCTAGTCAATTAGTTTTTGATTCTTGATGCATTTTCTCAGAAAGAACATTTCTTAAAACTGCAATCAGTGCAAAATGTGATGCTTAGAAAAAGCACTTGCTTATCCAGTCTGAGGAACTGACACTGATAATGCTGTGATTATGTAGCAAAACATAATTTTTTTGGCCACATATATGAACGCTTACTTATTGATTGATTGTTATGCGTAAGACTGCCAAAAGCCAGGTGACAGATACTGTTAACTAATATTTTGTCTGAATTCTAACTGTTACTATATCAATAGCAAAAAGAAAACTGTGTGTGACGGTAACTAGAATCTTACTTCAGTTATATGCTAAAGATGACATGTTGTTTAGAATCTGAGTAAAATGCTGTGTAACTTTATACATATATTTAGTCCGTCCACCTGATAAAAGTGTAGCAGGGAGGAAAATAGCCGTGACGTTTTGAAATGTGGCTTCACTGTTTATTTTAGTCATCCAGGGACAATTTTTGGGGGGGATCCAGACAGGTTTTTGTGCTCCTCTGTCTGTTTCGTTTTTTTCTGCTTTGTCTCTCTGCATGTAGCGGGAATGGCAAAAGCAGAACTGAGGGCCATTAAGTTGAGGAGGAACTGTATTAGAAGTCTTGTTCCCTGGGAAAGCTCCCAGCTGAGATGGGACGGCCATATTGGATAAACAGATGGCCGGGGAGAGGAAAGGACAGGCGAGGAGAACAGAGGTGAAACAAAGAGGGGAGATGAGAGAGAAGACGAGAAGAGGAGGAATGTGGAGAGAGCGGTGGAGAGGGTCGGAAAGGAGAGGGAATAACAAAGAGGAAGAGGTGAGGGAGAAGATATGAAAGGTGATGTGATGTGATGGAGAAGAGAAAGGGGGAGAGTAGGATACTAAACAACATAAGGTAAAACCAAAAAAAAGAGAGATGGGAGTTCAAAAAAAGTTAACAGGAAGGGCTAAAGGGCAGGAAAGGGATGAGGTAATGCATGGAAAACATGGAACAAGACAGATATTATTTAACTGGTAATTACATTAACCCAGATCAGAGGCAACGTAATATTTTATTGCAATATAAAATACTGACCCTTCTATTGTACACACATATAAACAAACTTGTTCACTAATTGTGCTCACACCATCCTTAATGTGGTGAGGCTCAGAGCGTCCTGGTGGCCAAGGGGTTGAAGATGCTGACCATGTGACTGTTCACTATTCCTTATCAAATAAAGGCAGACATGCTAAATAAACATTTGATAGGACTACAGTGTCTTGCTCAAGGGGACTTTAATAGTAATACTGATGAGCACGTTGGCTGAATGTCACATTTTTAAAAGGATAAATACATTTAAAGACATCTATTCTTTATGATCAAAGTTTTTACATTTTTCAAAAAAAAACATAAATATATATATATATATATATATATATATATATATTACATTTTGTCATGTT